GGGGGTGTACGGAGAGAGAGAGAGAGAGGGAGAGAGGTGGGGAGTGTACGGATAGATAGATAGAGGGGGGTGTATGGAGATAGATAGGTAGATAGATGGGGGGTGTACGGATAGATAGATAGAGGGGGGTGTACGGAGATAGATAGATAGGTAGATAGATGGGGGGGGTATAGATAGATAGATAGATAGGTAGATAGATGGGGGGTGTACGGATAGATAGATAGAGGGGGGTGTACGGAGATAGATAGATAGATAGGTAGATAGATGGGGGGTGTACGGATAGATAGATAGAGGGGGTTGTATGGAGATAGATAGGTAGGTAGATAGATGGGGGGGGTGTACGGATAGATAGACAGAGGCGGCGTATGGGGACAGATCATAGTATTAAACCGGCAATACTCTTGTGATGACCGCTCGCTGGACAGGTCCCCTTGTGACAGTGGATCAAGAGACCCCGACTAGAGGCCAGTGCAAAGCTTGCTAAGAAAACGAGGCTGCCAAGTGAAGCAAGAGCAAACCTGCCCGTCCCCTTGGCAAAGGCAGACAGAGCGCGAGGGCCGGAGCCCCAGCCTGTCGGCGGAGCCACCCAGGCCAGCGCCAGCGCCAGTGTCTAAATTAGCATGAAGTGTTTCCATTGTGCGCTGCACAATGCGGCCCGTATGTCAGGGCCGGGCGGGGAACAATGGGCGGCCCAGCCGGGCGGGAGCTGGCGACAGAATGTTCACACGTTGCTAACGTGATTAATGTGCTCTCACGTCTCCGGCTGCTCGCCCCTGCCCAGCCCGCGAGGGTGGGAACCGGCAGCATCCACCACACCAGTTCGCTAGGGCCCCTGGGGCGGAGCGGCAGAGTTCAAGTCAGGCAGCCCCAGGGCAAGGCTGGGGGCAGGTCGGAGAGGCCAGCCTGAGGCTGCGCCCAAGCGAGCGCAGGGCTGGCGGGAGGGAGGTTCGGCCTCAGAGCCAGCGTTGGAACAGGCAGGCCACAAAGGGGCAGGATGCGCCCACGGGCCGGGGAGGGAGAGCAGAGAACAGAGCTGTTGTTGGGTCCCTCTCTCCCAGCCCTGATAATGGAACCCAGGAGTCCTGACACCCCCCTGCTCTAACCACTGGACCACACTCCTCTCCTGGGACTAGAACCAGAACCCAGGAGTCCAGACACTTCCTCCCCCGCCCCCCTCTAACCACTGGACCCTATTTCCCTCCCAGAAATGAAACCCAGGAGTCCTGACCCCCCCTGCTGTAACCACTAGACCCCATTGCCCTGATAATGGAACCCAGGAGTCCTGACACCCCCCTGCTCTAACCACTGGACCACACTCCTCTCCTGGGACTAGAACCAGAACCCAGGAGTCCAGACACTTCCTCCCCCGCCCCCCTCTAACCACTGGACCCTATTTCCCTCCCAGAAATGAAACCCAGGAGTCCTGACCCCCCCTGCTGTAACCACTAGACCCCATTCCCCTCCCAAGACCAGACCCAGGAGTCCTGACCCCTCCCCCACTCTACCCATGAGATCCCTGCATGGGCTGGGGCTGATGACGACGCTGGTAGCGCTGGCCCCGCAGGGCACGTCCACCTGCAGCGGGCAGGGAGCCGCGAGCCGGTGGCGGCAGGCTGGCGGGGGGGGCACCCAGCTTGGGGGGCCCTTCTG